TGAAGAAGAGACAAACGAGTGGCTAGCTCCGCTATCTACGAAAATCTTAACAAGAACTCCACGAAGCTTCCCTAGAAGCACGACTGGACGATCAACAACTCTACTGAGTTCGGTGTATATGACTGCTTCAGAGCTGTCTCCTCGACGTCGGTAAACTTGGCGGGTACGGAAGTCTCCACACCATCTAGCGACCCGCTATCTACTGGCTGTTTCCGTTTCCCCGCTGCCACTCCTTAAGCTGTGGGCAGTCCCGCTTCATGTGGCCTGGCTTTTTGCAGTAGTGACAGTTCCCCATAAATCCCGTTTTCTGTGAGCCATCACTGTTAACTACACCAATCTCCATGGGCGACGGTCCGTCCCTCGATCGAACGCCGTTGATCGGTTTGTTGTATCCCCTATCGCGATCGTCATGACCTCGTCGGCTTCGTACTGCGTCGACGCGTTCTGCTGCTGGGACAACTGACTCGAAGGTGGACAACCCGTGAATCGCTATAATCTCCGCTATATCCGGCTTCAACCCTTCAAGGAAGTGATCGCGCATCCCTGCTTTCGTGATGTCGTCTATTTCGTTGCAGATGCTTAAGAACCGTCGTGTGTACTCCTGGACGTTTCCTATCTGTCGGAGATGACGCAGACGCTTCCTAGTAGCTTCAGAGGCATTCACCAGATCGAATTTACTCTTCAGCGCCGCTTCAAATCCTTCCATGTCGTCGGAACCGTGGTAACACCCAAAGCTGGACTCCCTAAGCTCGATGTTGCAGCTGCATGCTCCTCGCCCTGTTGATGCCCGTCCAAATGCGTCCTTCTTTCAGTAGTTTGCGTGAGTTGGCGCCACCACTACAAGGCCGGGCCCCTCAGCAACGTAATGGAGTACTCGATCCGCTGCTGCGCGTCCGCCTCTTGCACCCTGCTCGCGGCGAAGTAGTTGTTGAGCATGAAGATCCACGTTCGCACGTTCGCGTCGCGTTGGCTTGGGTCGAACGGCTCGGGTTTCTGCCGCTTGAGCGCGCTTCGACGTTCCGGCAACGCTTCCACGCCAGTCGACGTGTTGGGCGCAGGAGATGGTGCGGCATGACCATGAGAAATTGACGCGAATTCACGAAGCTGTTGCATTTCAGCCCGTACCTGACGATTTTCCAGCGTCAACGTTTCGAGTTGGCGCATGAGTTGAGCAAGCGTGTTGCCCATGTCGTTGAGGAGAACGTTTATGGTCTCGTCCATGTTGGCTTGACAACTCCAAGTCTACAAGTCGGCACCGCGGGACGATGGCGTCGTGGTCTCGTCGTCGACGGTCGCTCGTTGGAAGTCGCCCCCCGCGAAGGCTCTGATACCAAATGTTAGGCCCGCTGGCCTAAGTCCGCTAAAGAATTAGCGGGGTCGACTAAGTCAAGGATGAAACCTGGCGGAAGACTTTGACGAAAGAACTATTGGCAAAATATGCGAAGACGTTATTGAGTAATTGACGAAGAGTTGAACGATAATTGGTTGATATGAGGAAATACAAGCAAGGTTGAAGTAGCATGCAAGAGCGATTGTTGGAAAGTACTTCGTGGGACTAGAAAGTAGAAGAAAAGTAGGGTGCCACGTGGCACAAGGAAATCTGTGAAGATAAGGATAAGATGGGGTTGGGAAGTACTGTTCAAAGTGAACAGTAAAACCCCCCCTTAACAGCTAGTGGGTAAAGCAAAGGGTACACCCTGTTTTTGATAATTGCACATCCCATTTAATCTGTTTTATAGATACCCTAAACCTATTCTAACTCGAAACGACGGACATCCTGAACTTTAAAACGAGGGTCTAGATTTGCCTGGCGGAGGTTCAGAAGTTTTTGTTTTGAACCAGGCTTTCCAGCGCGAAAGTGTTGGCTGGCGAAAACCTGGATTTCGTGCAGACACTTTTCCTCTGCAGTAACAGTTCGCCAGGGTTTAGGGGTTCGGGTGGCAAATGTGCACTGTCGCTACTACCTACCAGTCTCTGAAAACTTGAGCAACGTTTGTTGGGCGGGGGGGGGGGGGGTTGAAAACTTCCACCACCTGAACACGATGCGCTACATAGCACTAGTTGCTGTCTAGAGCGATCCGACTGGCACTGCAGACCTGTCTTTTACAATCCTCTGCTCTACACCCCCTTTCGAGGTAGTCGACGAGCGACCGTCCTCTGAGCGCCCTACACAAGGTGCGTTCACTTTTAGCTGAGTTAGATGATTAGCGCAGACGGTGAGAACTGCTTGCGGCGCCTGCAATGCACGACTCCTCGCTATTTCTCTCCAATTCAATGTTTACTTTGCACCGATTCGCCTGCCCGGCGCGCCGTCTGGCCTGGCGTGGGCGCCGCGCCGGGTGAGTGTCGTCGATTCGACCAAAGTTCGTCGCATGGCTTGACTGAAGAGCAGGTCAGAGCGACACCTGCGCTGCCGCGTGCTCGCTGTGGCGGCAGTTTGAACGGCGAACTAGCGGCACATTCCAAAAATTGACGTGCTCTCAAAAGTTACTTCTGTAAAAGTTGCTTTTCTGTGCGCCGGCGCCCCGTGGGGTTCGCGTCATCATTACCGTTGCGTTGGCGGTGTTGTCTAAAATGCCTTGCGGGATCGCTGGGGCAGTAAGGCGTTCTAGGGCCGCGCAGGCGTCCAACTATCCCAATATTCGCAGGCACTAGATACACTGTATTTACTTGTTCAGCATGAGCATAGTCGTATGTGAACCTCGAATAATTTGGCTGCTAAGCCCGCAGGAGTTACATTCGTCCGGGGCTCGCATACTAGCCCTGCCGCAGCTGGCTGATTGTGAGTGAGCCGTCCAGTGGCTGGCTCGTCCATGTAGGCCAGCCAGAGAGCCAGAACAAGGAGGAAGCAGCCACAGTTGCCCCACGCCCGTATGATAGTCTGCTCACATAACGCACACACACGTTTTACAAATATATTCCAGCTTTGAGCGATTGCATTTCGTCCAGCATGAGTGTTGCCAGCCTCTCGTTCGGGGATATGTGAGGCCATTTAGGCAGCAGTCACGTAACCACAAGAGCAGTGATGTCCGCAAATGTGTGTCCATGTTCCTGATCCGCAAGAGGGCTTCAGTTGAGACTTCAGGGCCAAATTGTCCCAGCAGACTGCGACAGAGCCATTTAGCCTTCCACCCTCTTGCAATGCTGCTCCAAGCCTTCACCCTCGATGTAGTACCGCTTGTGTGCGTCATGCATGAGTAGCTAGTAGCGCGCAAGCACTTCATTGTTGCTGTCTCATCATCGCCCATGAGAAGGCTCTTTGTTGCACCACTGACGGTTATCCACGAACTTGGCAAGCAAAAAACTTTAAGGTTCAAAGCAAGTGACTATATATGGTATGTGTGTGTTACGCCCCTTAGCTTGAAGATATGCGTCTGCCATCCTAGGCACGAGCACAGCACGGACCGGGCCGGCCCGACTTAAGGGTGGCCACCTTTAATCCACGCGCTTCCGAGGGCCATTTCACAATCCTCCTTCAAGCCAATTCCCCCCAGCATTAGCAGCTTTCGCTCAGACCTTTCTCCTGCAACCGGTTGCTCTTCTGAGCAACTGTTTTCACTCCTCCCCTGTCGGAAGCCTTTCACTGTGCATGAAGCTCTAGTACGTTCGAGGCACTCCCAAATGTTGCAAATGTTTCGGCTCTCAGCAGTGCAGTATCTCATCTCAAAGCGCATTCAGGTTATTATCACCACAACCTGTTCCATACTGCACTGCTCTCACGGTCTCAACCATGATATTGTACTCACTGTTATCATTGCCGCCAACTGTTCTCCTATCTTGTGCTCTCCTTGCTAGTCCATGTGGTGTGCCGTTTTCTGCCATGTGGGCTGTTATTACGACCTTCACAACATGCCGTTTTCTGCCATGTGACCAACATGTGCAACGTGTGACCTCACTTCCTTCCTTCACATGGCCGACTAGCCTTTTCATTGACCTCAATTGGTGCAGCTAGCCTCAAGAGCTGAGCCTTACAATACGTACATGGCTTTACGATTCACTTAAGATCCTTCTTTTTAGTGTAGGGGACACTGCCCAGGTCTACTATACTGTCTTCCTTGCTAAGAAAAGTTCCCTTTTACGATTGTGCCCATAAGATTGCAAACTGTTTTCTACAGGTGCCAGCTTTTTTTCAGGCCTTTAGCATTAAGCTTTAGCCTCTTTCCCCCGCCACTGCTGTTATTCCTTTCTCCTCTGCCAGGATTCCCATCTTGCAGCCTCGGTTTCTCTCATCTCATCAGGGCTTGGCATCTTTGCCCACCTGCCTATACAAGCTTGAGATCTTTATCCTCCTTGTGTTGCCCCTTTTGATTTTATGCTTGACTCTCCCATCCTCCTTATTCTCGCATGGAGGTGGGTACATGCATGAATGGCAATAAACCCATGGACCTCGTTATCAGGGTGCTTGAGTGAAACATTTACGAATATTCAGTTGTGCCCTCACACACCAACTTACGCGTAAGCCTGTAAAGGAATATTTGGCATTCGAGAACTATTTGATATTCGTTCGAGTATCTGATTTTGAAAGATCAGGAAGCGACCGGATATTGGAAAGTATTAGCATCACGAGTATTCATAAATTTACGATTAACGGGTAACCACCGTATGGGGTATTCGTCACTATTGGGTATTCCCTACATGCCGCTGGCATCTTTGACAGTCTTTTTACAAGCGGCTTCGTGAGAGCCGTGCCCAAAAGTCAATCAAGATGGTTGCTGGAGAGGTGTTAGGGAAACGCGTGGTGCCTCGTGGTGTTGGTAGTATACTTCAGGTACATTTTATCACCCTGTGTCGAACATACAAATATCAATATTCGACACTAAACTTTACTCGTTTAAGTTTTGGCAGTATTCGAATTGTAACCGTATTTGGTTTTGGGTCAGAATTCGGTCAAATAGAAACACACAGTATCAGAAAATTATTCTGAAAAAACATATTCGTATTCGTATTGGTGATCGTTTTACAGGCTTTCTTACGTGTGTTCCCTTTTATTTGCCATGCAGTTAGAGTCGCACCGTGGGATGGAGCTGTATCATTTGCTGCTGCTTCCCAGCCTTGCATGCCTGTTTGCGCTCAGGGGAGTAGCTTCAGTGCGATTACACCCAGGCGAAGGTAGGGTTGGGAACACTGCTGCGTTGCTGCCTTGTATAGATCAGCAACTCACTCCGCCATTCGCTTATCTCACCCCGCCATTCGCTTATCTCACCCCGCTCTTTCCGAAGCATCTCCTTTCTCACCTTTTCTCTCCAGTCCCTCATTTCACTACCGGGTTACCCATCCTTGGCGTGCCCATCCTCGCCCTCTTCCAGTGGACAACCTTTTGACGCTGGCTAACTGGTGGAACAGCTTCGAGGGCAGCGAGACATGGCAGCATCGTTATGCGGACTGCAGGGCATTTGATGGCATCAAGTGCGACAGGGACGGATTCGTCACCGACATGTGAGAACTCCACCCTGCTGCCGCGTTGCCAGCTCGTGCGCTCAGATTCCTGCTGCCGCGTTGCCACCACGTGCAATCAATTTTTCAATGCGCTTGCTCACATCACATCGCTCATGTATTTGGTTGGTAGCCCACTAGGTCAAGCATGGGAGTGCACTTTATGTGCCTGCTAAGGACGCAAGTCCAACACATTGATCCGTTATGTGATGAGCTCTGCTATTGATCTTGAGCTCTGTTCCTACATGAATCTTTATAGCATTGGTCCCATGAGGCCACACAAGCCAAACACTCAGACTTGCTAATTCGGCTCAATGTAGGCACACCGTCAACACATAGTCCGAGCTGAGCCGAACCTCCTCTGACCCTATTCCTCATGGTGTCACGACCCTCTGAAACATCCTAGCGCACCCCTAAGTCCAAGCCTGCACTTGATTGTGCAGCACCTGAGCACCCTCCTCCTCAAGGGGCGTTGGGTAAAACGAGCTTTCTGGGGTCTTTGTCCCTTTTGGTGGAATTCAGCATCCTTGTCTCGCCAGATTTTCTCTTCTAACAGATCCCTTCCCTTCAATTACAGCTTCAGTCATCCTTGCTTGTTCTTCGACAACCTTCGTTTTTTGAAATCGCGGAGTGCCCGAACTCAAACGCCGGTTCGTCCCCGAATGAACCTGTTTCGTTTCCTAGCCAACAGGGGCCTTTCCCCTGTGGCCTGAGTCTAATTTCCTGCCTGGGGTTCGGTTGTCCTTCATTATAATCGGCCAGAATATGCTGCCGGTTCTTGTTGAAAAGATCCAGAACGTGTTTTCCGGCCCAGCACAGGGTTTGTTTTGAGACCTATTTTAGGGCACCAGGGTGGATTCATTAGTCCTACCATACGCGGGCAGTCGTTTGTCAAACTCGATCCAACCTGACCCGATTTACATGCAGTTTGGGTCAAACCGCGCTCAGCTCGATCAGGCCGGGTCCTTCCGATGTTTAATTCGAGCCGAATCGATTCAAGTTCTATCTTAGTTCTTGTCAAGTCTTTTGCCAGCTCGACTCAGCTGGACTTAAAGTGGTTCGTGTTCAAAATGATGATTATGCCGAATGTGTTCCCATTGACTACGGTAAGAACCTACCCGGCAGTTTATCTTTTGTTGAAAATGGCAAAACCATTTCATCTTCTGCTTGGTGCATGCCCAGTCTTATGGAAACCCCTCTCGTCTTTGGTGCAGAATACTAGAGTGGAGAGACTTCTTTACACCAATACCCGACATGATAAGCCGTTTCCAGCACCTCAAACTCCTGTGAGCCATGCAGTACCTCTCAGCGCCACCGCCGCCTGAGCAGATAAGGATGTGGCAGTGTGGAGCTCATTAGTCAAATGCGATGCACCAACGCATCCTTCGCATCTGTCCATGTGCTTGTGTTGTACATACTCTGTCAGAGTCACTGCTCTCGTTTCTCTCTATTTAACACTTTCCATTAGCTCACTCTTGCCATTTCCAACTCACCCACTTTGCTCCTCCTCACGATTTGTTTTCCCATCATTGCTCTTCTCTAGGTCGCTCCATTTCAACCAGCTCACAGGCACTATTCCTGACTCCCTCTCCAGTCTCACATCACTCATTGTTCTGTAAGTGCGCCCTCCACTATCGTCTTGTCAGCCATGAGTCCACATTGGCTCTTTTGTGGATTCTGCATGTTCTCTGCTGACTCTTCCATGCACCCATGCGTGCCTGTCACATGTGCTCCAGCGACTTGGGTGGGAATCTCATCACAGGGACTATCCCAGCAGGCTTCAGCCGCCTCACTAACTTGCAATTTCTGTGGGTAACACTTTAGTTAAGGGTGTAGAGCTTGTCGTGCACATGAGGGATGCAGCATTTACGTTTGATACTGTTGGGTGCAAATATTTATTTGCACGTCAACCTGCCGCCTATTCGACGACGGTAAAAGAAAATGGGGAGTCTTGTTTGAAGTTAATTTGTGGCGTGAGAAATGTCATTTCATTTTGCATTTTGTGTGTGCGCATTTTTTTGCGTGTTCTGTGTGCATTCGTCCTTGCATTTTGTGTGTTTCGTTTTCATTTGTAATTGCATTTTGTGTTTGTGCATTTTCAGTTTCGTGTTCACTGTTCTCATGATGCGCTCAAATGAGGCTCACATGATGCGCTCAAATGAAGCTATCATGGAGCGCTCAAATGAGGCTCCCACGACGAGCTCAAATGAAGCTGAAATGAAAACTCTCATGAAGCTCCAATGAGCCTCAAATGAGCCTCCCATGAAAGTCCCATTTGCTTGTTGTGTTTCATGCGTGGCATATGTGAGCGAGTAGTGTACCGTGGGGCGTTTCTGTGGGGCTCGATTCTTTGACTGGTCAAAGGGGGTGCTGAAGAATTTTGCGCTGGTCAAGCACGCGAAATCTTGACCGCGCGTGTGGTCCTGATTTCGCGTGTGGGCCCTGAGGGCCCGAGCGTGTGCTCGGGCACTGTTGCGAGCGGGGCAGGGCCCACGATCGCAACAAGACAGGGCGAATGATCGCCCTGCCCACGCGCAGTACAGCACGACCAGTTTGTCTGGTCGTGCATGATTGCGCACCTGAGGGGTGCGCGTGTGTTTCAGGGGGTGCTGCGAGATTCCGAAGGGTGCTCGAAAATTACAGTTGAAAAACTGTTTTTCGAGTTGACTCACGGGACAGGAAATTTCTCGCGAAAGTCATTTCGCTTTGCGGAATCATTTCGACACTGGTGCAAATCGGTTACTCCGTTTTCAAACGGTAAAAACCGTTATATAACTGTGAGCTCGCATGAAGACATTGGAGCCACATGCGAGTCTCATGAGTGCACACATTTGAGTCAGCAGGGGCAACTGTTACAAGTATAGTTTGAAGACGGTTTTAAACAAGAGGAGGATAAAGCCAAATGCTCAGGGAGTTGAGCAACCGTTTTCAAATACAGCGTGGCGAAATCTTTCGGATTCGTTGAACAACTGTTTTGTGCCTGCCCTTGCCTGTGCGTAGAATCTATATAAATGTGTGCTTGTACTTGTCGAAATCAATTCAATGCATTCGCAGTTTTTCAAGTTTGAATTCTACTACTTCGTATTGACGAGAGTAGAAACGATCATGGTGCTGCCGAATCTTGGCTCGACGGGTTTACTTGTTCTACAAGCATGAGTAAGGCATAACTACTCACTTGCGATTTATTACGCCCTTGGCTAGGAGGTGACAGACTGTCACACTCGAAGGGCTGCAAGTGATGTTAAGTGTTGTTAAGCTTTGTCTGTAGTTCCAGTTTAAGTGCTTCCGCATATCGTTATAGCTGTTAACAGATACTCCCATAACTTTTGACACATGTGCATGCACTTTATGCTGTAGAATCATAGTATCTTGTTATTATCCTAACATGGTCAAAGGAGTTTTCCATGTTCCCTTCATTGCGTGTCCGTCCTCCCTTTTCCCTGTTTCAGTGCCCTTAGTGCGAATCAGCTCTCAGGTCCCATTGATCCACTCACCAACTTGCCTCAGCTCCAGTACCTGTACGCATTCATTCATCTGAATTTTGCTAAACAAATACCTGTGGCGGTGCACTTTGATTTGATGTCCTTTAATCTCACTACCGTAGCCACCAGCTTCATCAGACAGCAGTTACTGCAAGCAAGAATAAGAATTACCGTCGGGTTGGTGAGTCAGACTCCGCAAACCACACGTGTCACAAGTAGTGCTTCATGTTTTGCACAAATGGTGCCCCACTCCTCGCTGTCTCTCAGTTGGAGCAACGGTTGTCTTCAGCTGCCAAATAACAGTTGCAGCTCAAGCGATAACTTCATCCAGGTGGCTTGGGAGGACCAACCAATCCTTGCGGAAGGACGGGTCTTGTTCAGAGGGGGGTGGTGATGATATCCTTTCTTGATTAAGGGGCGCCACACAGTCAAAGTGTGCCTCATTCATGCCGTGATGATTGAGGAACCGAAGTTTAGGACGCGTCACCTCTGGGGAATTTGCCAGGATTTGAGGAGGATCGGGGCCTTACACCGATCCTGGCACATCGATCGGCACACCGATCTGCCCACATGCAGATTTGCAGTGGGGTAGACACACCGAGCTAGAGGGTCCCGGATAAGAATTGCAGAGTCGGGCAGGTTGGAGCCGTGTCGGATAACTCCAACACACTGCAACGCGCAGCCAATCAGGGCGAAGCGTGGTTGGTCGCCCAGCAATGCCAGTCGCAGCGGCTCGGGCATTTTCGCCCTGCGACCGTGGGCGACGCCGATCGATCGTGGCTGCCACCTGTGGCGCGATCGGCTCTCTTGCGAACCCAAACGCATGATCGATCGTGCGCGCCAGAGGTGCCACCATCTGCGAAAGTGGTTACCAGGCTTTTGGTGATGTCGCCAATACACTGTACCCCCGGCACGTCGATCTCCACTCGGGATATCCCTAGAGGTGCCGCGTCCTTCGGTCTAGGGTCCAATCGCAGTAAACCAGGAGGAATGGTCTCTTTCGAATGTCCACCCTATTATTCATGCTTCTCAGCAAGCCTTGCTCGATACATGGGCAAATGGCGAGTCGAGTTTTACTTGACTCGTTTTGACGAGTTTTTTGCCTTTGGCGAGTCGAGTCGAGTTTTACTCGTCGAGTTGTTTTGGTCAAAATGCTGACTCGAAACTCGGCCTCAAAGTCGAGTTTCTAGGATGAGCCTAAAAAAAACTCGTCCGAGTCCAGTAAAACTCGACTCGACTTTAAACACTACCCTAGCCTAAACCCCCAGCCACACGAAAACAGTTGTAGGGTGCCCAGAAAACCGACACACGCGTCAACACCCACAAACGACCCAGCCAGCCCCACCTCTCCTCCCCCCTATCATTCTCCAACCAAGCTACTCACCGCCACGCCAGCTGCACTAGTGTTCACAACTAAGTGGTCGAACACATCCAAAACAGCGAGTCACACCTTCAGCAGCATATTCACCCAAAAACAGACATTTGTACCCCCCCATGGTGGACCATTTGATGCACGAGTTTTTGGAAACTCGTCTAGGTTAAACAAAACTCGTGAGTGAAAAAAAACTCGCGAGTTATGGGAAACTCGCATGTCTAGCCGAGTTTTTCACGAGTTTTTTTCAACTCGCGAGTAAAAATCGACTCTTTTTCACAAGTTTTGTATACCATACTCAAAACTCGAAACTCATTATTTTTGAGTACCTAAAACGAGTCTAGTAAAAAAACTCAACTCGTTTGCCCCCCTCCCTCCCCCCCTCTCCCCCCACCTTACCTACCACTACTGCCACGATTCTGACTTTATCACCTACCAGCATTACCAACATTTTGGTGCTAAAAATGTCCCCTCGCCCCTCCCCACACCAATTCCCCCACTCATCTTCCTCCTTCCCCATCGAACAGCTGATGACGTAGGCTTGCTGTGACGAGGTGCTGAAGGGTGCTTATGTGTAATGCCATTCAGGTTCTCAGAGCATCTATGCATCCGAGGTGATTTGGTGTGCATGTCCCTTGGCCCGTCAGCTTTCTGGACCAGAACGCTTTCAACACCTCCATTCCCTCTGACCTCGACAAACTCACTGCCCTTCGCTTCCTGTGAGTCCCACTACTTGACGTGTGGACATTGCCGTTTTCTTCTCCTGTTGCGTACTACTGGTCTCATTTCGACAATTGAACTAAAATAAATTGTGAGGTGGCGGGCCACTTTTCTGGTTCTCCATTTTGAATTGTAATTTCACCACTCTCCTGGATCTAACAAGTACTGTGCTTAGCCTGCATCAGCAGAGCTCTGTGCTCGGAAGACACGTAAGAAGTGACGTGAATGTCACTCACCCCTTTTAATCCCACATTGCAATCTGTGGTTGTGGTTGTGGTTGTGGCTTTGCATTGTGGAGAGTGTAGATTCTACACTGTAGAAGGCAGTTGGTGGTACTGCAGCCAACCATTTGGTGGAAACATCATGCGCACGTGTGTGGAAAATACCCTTCCTCTCTTCAATCCTCTCTTGCCCTCTTACCATGCAGGTATCTTGACAAGAACTCGTTCTATGGAAGCATTCCATCCTCCATGGGCAACATGGCGCAGCTGAAGGCTATGTATGCACCGGGACCATCACTGCCGTGCAGTAATGTGATCTTGATGCTCCTCCACCAGACTGTCTCATTGCGGACTCGAACACTTGCTCCAGAACAAGGCCTATATTCTGTTACTCGAGCTCGTCCAGTAATTCTTCCTGTTTCTCAATCTGTCTTGGCCCATGAGGCCCTAATCCGTCGCTGGCGAGTGCAGGGTGCTAAGTAACAACCAGCTGAGTGGCACCATACCCGACTGCTTCAGCCGCCTGCACAACCTCTCTCGACTGTGAGATGCTCCTCTCAACCCCTGCACCCTGCCTGCGCCCATGCGCCTATTGCTAGCCTTCTTCAGGGTCACTTGATGAGTCTCTTTATCAATCGAAACGTGGCGTTTGGTTCGTCACACGTGCAGGTCGAGAGATGCACATGCAATCACAGTTCGTTGTGCCCAGGGTGCTTGCTCACAAACCAGTCACCAACAAGTGCAATGCCAGTTACTGCACATGGTATTGCGTCTCTTGCTGCATGCTGCCACCTGCATTTGTGCGTTATTCCTCTCACCTCCTACCTTTCCACCCTGTTGTGTTCCTCCTGTTCTCATAATGTAACCTTCAGCATGTTGGATAGAAATCAGCTGACGGGGTCCATCCCTGAGTGGTTTGGAACGCTCTCTGGTCTCAGGATTTTGTGAGTTTTGTCGCCCCAAGCCAACTTACACCTGTTCTTGTGCTCAATTGTTAAGTGCCATGAGCATGGTGCGTGTGTGACAATGTGTATGGTGCGTGTGTGACAATGTGCATGGTGCGTGTGTGACAATGTGCATGGTGCGTGTGTGACGATGTGCATGGTGCGTGTGTGACAATGTGCATGGTGCGTGTGTGACAATGTGCATGGTGCGTGTGTGACAATGTGCTTGGTGCATGTGTGATGATGTGTATCGCACCTTGGCAGGATAATGCAGCACAATGCACTGAGCAGATCAATTCCATCCTCTCTGGCATCGCTGCAGCAGCTTTCTGCTCTGTAAGCATCAATGCTCATCCCTGTTTCACACCTTGCTCATCGCTGTTTCACACCTTGCTCATCCCTGTTTCACACCTTGCTCATCCCTGTTTCACACCTTGCTCATCCCTGTTTCACACCTTGCTCATCCCTGTTTCACACCTTGCTCATCCCTGTTTCACACCTTGCTCATCCCTGTTTCACACCTTGCTCATCCCTGTTTCACACCTTGCTCATCCCTGTTTCACACCTTGCTCATCCCTGTTTCACACCTTGCTCATCCCTGTTTCACACACCTTGCTCATCCCTGTTTCACACCTTGCTCATCCCTGTTTCACACCTTGCTCATCCCTGTTTCACACCTTGCTCATCCCTGTTTCACACCTTGCTCATCCCTGTTTCACACCTTGCTCATCCCTGTTTCACACCTTGCTCATCCCTGTTTCACACCTTGCTCATCCCTGTTTCACACCTTGCTCATCCCTGTTTCACACCTTGCTCATCCCTGTTTCACACCTTGCTCATCCCTGTTTCACACCTTGCTCATCCCTGTTTCACACCTTGCTCATCCATGCTTCACGCCATGCTCATCCATGCTTCACGCCATGCTCATCCATGCTTCACGCCATGCTCATCCATGCTTCACGCCATGCTCATCCATGCTTCACGCCATGCTCATCCATGCTTCACGCCATGCTCATCCATGCTTCACGCCATGCTCATCCATGCTTCACGCCATGCTCATCCATGCTTCACGCCATGCTCATCCATGCTTCACGCCATGCTCATCCATGCTTCACGCCATGCTCATCCATGCTTCACACCATGCTCATCCATGCTTCACACCATGCTTCACACCATGCTTCACACCATGCTTCACGCCATGCTCATCTCAGATCTCTAACTGCCAACCGTCTCTCAGGAAGCATACCTGCAGCGCTGGGAGATCTTCTTAGCCTGGAGGACCTGTAAGCCTCCACAGCCCCTTGTTATTACATGGATGCGAACATGGATGAGCATGGTGGAACATGGATGAGAATGGTGGAACATGGATGAGCATGGTGGAACATGGATGAGCATGGTGGAACATGGATGAGCATGGTGGAACATGGATGAGCATGGTGGAACATGGATGAGAATGCTGCCTTGTTTATGCTTTCTCAAAAGGGTGATGCGAACTCACCTTCCATCACAGGGCCTGACAAAGTGTCAGCTTAAAGCCACTTTTCCACTCCAACCATCTGTTAACCCCATCCATCCTTTCCCTCAATCCACCCTTTCACTCACAACCCTTTCACCCTTCCATTGTGCTCCACCCTTTTGTGGTGGCAGGTGGCTGGGGTTTAATCAACTGACTGGATCCATCCCGACCACCATTGGGAGACTCACCAATCTGCTGGGCCTGTTCGTACAGACCGATAAAGCACAGATTCAGATGACTCCATTCGACTTGAGCATAGCTGTAACCTACACTTTGCGATGCGCTTCTGCAGAAACATTTTGACTATGGTGTGTGCGTGTGATGTGCGTGTGATGTGCGTGTGATGTGCGTGTGTTGTGCGTGTGATGTGCGTGTGTTGTGCGTGTGATGTGCGTGTGATGTGCGTGGGATGTGTGTGTGATGTGCGTGTGATGTGCGTGTGTTGTGCGTGTGATGTGCGTGTGTTGTGCGTGTGATGTGCGTGTGATGTGCGTGTGATGTGCATGTGTTGTGCGTGTGTTGTGCGTGTGATGTGCGTGTGTTGTGCGTGTGTTGTGCGTGTGGTGTGTGTGTGGTGTGTGTGTGGTGTGTGTGTGGTGTGTGTGTGGTGTGTGTGTGGTGTGTGTGTGGTGTGTGTGTGGAGTGTGTGTGGTGTGTGTGTGGTGTGTGTGTGGTGTGTGTGTGGTGTGTGTGTGGTGTGTGTGTGGTGTGTGTGTGGTGTGTGTGTGGTGTGTGTGTGGTGTGTGTGTGGTGTGTGTGTGGTGTGTGTGTGGTGTGTGTGTGGTGTGTGTGTGGTGTGTGTGTGGTGTGTGTGTGGTGTGCATGGACCAAGCAGGGAGTTGTCTGGCAACCAGCTGCAGGGGACTCTCCCCAGCACCCTCCAGAGCCTCTCCAAGCTGCAATTTCTGTACAAACGCTCTATTTACCCATGATATCTGTACTGTCTCTGAGCACTGAGTCATGCTTCTGTGCTTCACGCAGAGTCCATTCCAGCATCGTCTGTCTTCACTCATTTGCTTGCTTCTATACCATTCATTCTGTTCCATTCTGTAGTTTGTAGCTCTCTCAAAATCACATGTATACGAGGTCACTGTCTCCCCTGCCTGAACTCCAGCCCATTCCAATGGTGGTGCACAGAGAGGCTTTGTGGCTCTTGATTGGTGACACTACGTTCTTCGATGGTCAGAACCCGTTGCAGTGAATCATCAGCTCACGCACTGTGCCGTCCACATGCTCACATGTATCGTTCTTTGCACCCTGCTCTCAGTATGCTCTCAATCAACCGGCTCTCAGGCCCCGTGGAGCCCATCATACGAGGAATGAAGAACCTCACTGTGTTGTGGGTGTCACCTCACAACCGCGCACTGGCCCTCTCTCACTCTCCACTCAATCCTTGTCCTGTCACCCCAAACTTTCACGGCAGGCTGCCCTATTCTCAGCCTGATTGGCCGCCTGTGCATCTCTTTTGTCATGGCATTGCAGGTTTTTCAACAACAACCAGTTCTCTGGGCGCCTACCCAGCCCTGCAGCAGTAGGCGTGCAGGAGTACTATTTTGTTGACTACAACTTCTTCTCTCACGGGCAGGTCAAGTTCAGCAACTGCTCTGCAGTCACGTGGGACACGTATTTAAATTGCCTCATGCCTTTCAATGACATCTGCGGCCTTGTTTACCAGCAGAGGTCTGCTGCAGCCTGTGCTGCGTTCTGTGGGCTGGGGGTCGGTGCCACTGGCCCTCTGTGTGGGGGCCATGGCTACTGCTCTCGGAACATTCATACTGGAGCAGGGGAGTGTGTGTGCGATCCCAACTACATGGTCAGCAGCAGCAACACCAGCACCTGTGTGCCTGGAGGTAAACGCCTCCTTTCAACCAATCAATCCATGCTACTTTTTGCCATTGGCTAGAGGTCGTTTCATCAACCTGTCAGAAATCCCCTTCCACCCATGCTGCTGGCCCCCTCCACTCCAGCTGCCCGGACCTCTCTGATGTCTGCCTTGGTGTACGTCTCCCTTGGAGGCTCTGCCTCTCTGCTTTCCAACGGCTCCATTCTTCTCACCAACGGCGATGCCAGCCAGCAAGGCTCTGCCTTTGCGTCGCCTGCCATGCGCCTCTTCTACATTCCTGACAAGCGCTCTCCCTGCGGAACTGAGCTGGGCTTCCGAGTTGCCTTCAGCTTCGCAATGATCCCCGGGGATCAGGGGGCGGGTGGGGAAGGCCTTGCGTTTGTGGTGACTGCTGCTGCTTCGAGCAAAGGGGCAAGCGTGGGGCTGGGAGGGGTGGGGAAGCGGAGTGTGGCGGTGGAGTTTGACTCGGTGCTGAGTGTGAAGCACAGCGACCCCAACGACAACCACGTGGGCGTCAATGTGGGCGGCTCACCTGTGTCCCTCACCTCTGCCACGGCCCCTCTCATCCTCAACGACGCCCACACCAAGCACGCCTGGATCCACTACGACCCCACCAGCTGCGGCACTCTCCGAGTCTTCCTGTCCTCCGACCCCCAGCAGCCCCTCACCCCCGCCCTCACAGCAAGAGTGTCTCTCTGCTCCGTGCTCAAGCCCACTGCATCCGACTCTCTCTTCCTCTTCGGCTTCGTCGCCCTCTCAGGCAGCCACCCCCAGAGACATGCCATTTTGTCCTGGAACTTTGTCACAGGTATGCTGCATTGCACCAAACCCTGCCCGCCCCATCTGTTTCAGGTTGAATATTTCATGTGTTTACCACGCTCTTGCCTTTCCACATCTGTTCTTTTGCCTGGTACAAATTCTTCTCGTACATGTGAGCAGATGTTCCCTCTTCTCTGTAGGGCAGTGGTCTCTAGCATCATACCATCATCACGCACGTCCATCCACATGCCCATATATATTTCGCTTCTTACGTATATAAGTAGCTGCTGTAATTTGTTGAGGGAAAAATACTACCGTATTCTCCCGGACATAACACCCTAGGGTATAGCTAAAAATACAGGGAAAAAATGGGGGGGGTCTCCTCATAGGAAAAAAAATACATAATACCCGGGTCTTTACATATGGCATATTTTAGTGTTAGTGTTTTTTTAATTAGTCAATGTGGGTGTTTTGCTGGTCGTTTTAGCATCACTGCCTGAGGCGCGAATGTGAGTTTCGGCCTCGAACTTCATCGCCCCCACGAAAATGGCATGTGGCACCTCTCTTGCCACTTGCAACGGAAGATTCACCTGCACGTGGCGACAGAGAAATAGTGGGAGGGGGCAAATCTCGGCAGATTGCCTTTGAATGTACCGCGAAATTTCATCGAGGGAGTAATTCACACGATATTCTTCCGTATTGCAGCTACTCGTTAACGACTATAATAATGAATCCGTAAGAAAAGGGGGGTGTTATAGAAAATCAGCCAAAAAGGGGGGTATAGTAGAAACGAGGTCTATCATAACACCCACCCCGCACAAGCTACCCGGGGGTGTACAATTATGGGGGGGTGTTTTGTCCGGGAGTATACGGTAGTAATGCTTGAGAAACTGAACGAGAATGAATTGACTAAGGGAAAGTTGGGTACAAATGCAAACCCTAGAAAACTGTACCCCATATGTGCTACCCCACTATAGCCTACAGTAGCTATGTCATATGAATCTGACACACCCCCATAGGCAAAGTGGGGGAGAACAAGGGGTCACAAAACCAGTCAAGCAAAGCCAAGCAAGCTCAGGGTGGATCACAAAGTCACCACACATTCCGAGCACAAGTTCAAGGCCACAAGGCCAGTTCACATGCAGGATTACATATATGTATAAGGCTAGACAAGCAAGAGCAGGTGTATATATATATGCAACAGTACAAACAAGGTCAAGGGGTGAGCAAGTGAGGCAAGGTAGGCACAAGACCCAGCTGAGTACAGAAGCGCTGATGATCACAAGGCGCAAGTGCCTTGGTGAAGATATCAGCAGTGTTGGCCTGAGAGGCCACGTACGCAAGCCGCAGCTGACCACGCTGCTGTAGCTCACGAGCAAGGAAGTAGCGGAGAGCAATGTGCTTCGTTCTGTGCTCCAGTCTCTGCTCTCGACACAAGGCCAGCATGGCCTTGTTGTCTACGTACAGCACTGGAGGAGAACGAGGCGGCTCTCCGAGGTCAGTCAGCAGGTAGGTGAGCCAGCGAAGCTCCTGTGCAGCCATGGCCCTGGCGTAGATCTCAGCCTCACAACTGGAGCCGAGAACAGAAGACGAGCGGGTAGCCCGCCACGAAACAGAGCCGGAACCAAGGCTGAAGGTGTAACCCTGTGACGACCGCTGCGTAGCCTGGTCGTCAGCCCAAGAAGCGTCTGCGTGCCCAGTGAGGTCCACTGGACTCTGCCCTCCAAGCACAAGCCCCATGCCCGACGTACTGCACAAGTAGCGCAACACCCTCTTCGCTGCAGCCATGTGCTCCGGTCTGTGTCTCCCAGGAGCAACATAGCGTGCGAGAATGCTAAGAGGGTATGCAAGGTCAGGTCGTGTGCAGGTCATCAGGTACATGAGGCAGCCAACAAGCTCTGGGTACGGGCCACTCGACTCTACGGACTCATCCGAAGGCAGAGCTGAGAGCGAGTGGCGAGTAGGCAGAGGAGTGGCCTGAGGCGAGGAGTACGTGAAGCCGAAGCGCTGAAGGACCTGCTGCACCATGTGTGACTGAGTCAGGGTAATGGTGCGGCGTGCTCTGTCCCGGGTGATCTGCAAGCCAAGGTAGCTGCGCAGTTCACCCAGGTCTGTGCACGTGTGTCTCTTCTGCAGCTCGGACTTCACGTGGGCGAGTCCAGCAGTGTCAGCTGTGGCAAAGACCAAGTCGTCGACGTACACGAGGATGTAGAACGGCGGCAAAGAAGTGTCGGTGCGCAGAAACAGCGACGGGTCGGCAGTAGAGGGAGCAAACCCAAGAGCCGCAAGTGTAGTCCTCAGTGTGTCGTGCCACTCACGCGGTGCCTGGCGGAGACCGTAGACTGGCCGCCGGAGGCTCCACTGGGTGCCAGGAGGAAAAGACCCAGTGAAGCCAGGTGGGCGACGCAGCCAGATCTCCTCGTGCAGGCTGCCCTGCAAGAAAGCAGTGCTGAAGTCAAGAGAGTGCAGCTCGTAGTCGCGGTGAGCAGCTATGTGCAGCAGTACCCGAAGAGTGGTCATCTTCGGGGTGGGAGAGAAGGTCTGAAAGTAGTCAACTCCCTGCCGCTGACTGAAGCCACGAGCCACGTAACGCGCCTTGAAGACAGGCGGAGAACCCGGCGGTCGCTTCACCCTGAAAATCCACATGCCACTGACGATGTTCGCCCCAGGCGGGGGAACCTCGTCAACGTAGGTGCCTGTGGACTTCCAGGAAGCCATCTCTGTGTCCATAGCTGCCTGCCACTGAGAGGAGTAGGGACCCTCTATCGCCTCCGCGTAAGAGCGCGGAGTCGGGATATCAAGTGCATCCGGGTCTCCCTCAGGGGTAAGCAGTACGGACACGAGATGAGGTGAAGCAGCAGCCAAACACTGGAACTCCTCCTGCCTGTCCTCAAGGACGTCCGTGCCAAGGGCACACTCACCCCCGACGGACGGAGGACAGACAGACTCAGACTCATCGACAAGACTAGCAGCGTAGTCTAGACGACAGCGAGCAGCAAAGTCGACGAGCTCAGCAACTAGGGCAGACGCAGCAGTGGACTCAAAGGAAGGGTCAGTGACGACAGTAGCAAGGAGACGCGTGACAGTAGGACTGGCAGCACGAAGAGAGTCCGACTCCGGGTCGGGAAGAGCAGGAAGAGAGGACTCAGGAGGAGAAGGCAAAGGGGCACGCAGAGGAGCAGTGGACGGACGCAGAGACATCCGGTGCGTGCCAGGGACAGGAGGAGGACGCTGACGCGAACCACGACCACTAGTGCGAGCAGGACGGACAGGCGACGCAGGGCGAGACGCAGGCTCACGACGCTCAGCAAGACCTCCAGTAGGACCAGTGTAGGGAGAAGGAGCGGGCAGTGGGGAGGCCGGCTGTAACTGTAACTGTGACGGGACAGGCTGTGGACACTCTAAGGGAGGAGGAGGACCAGTAGAAGGCGGGAGACCAAGAACCTGCTGAAGGAGCGGAACGAAGTACGGCCGAGGCCGCGCGGCGACTCCAGACACAGCAGGGACAGCACCAGTACCCCCAGCGGCAGCACCAGCGCCAGCAGCACCTCCAGCTCCAGTACCTCCAGCAGCACCAGTAGCACCCCCAGCAGGACCGCCTCCAGGACCGACAGCAGTAGCCTCAGCGTCAACACCCTCAGCAGCTCCAGCTCCAGTACTCCCAGTACGAGCACCTCCGGGACCCGCGGTACCAGCACCCTCAGCAGCCGAAGAACCTCCAGCTCCAGCAGCACGCCTCCAGCGCCGGGCAAACCACTCGCGCAGCTCCTGTGGAGAGAGTGGCTCCCGCCGAGACGAAGCACCCGGAGAACCTCCAGGCTCAGCACCACCAGACGCCACACGAGCAGGCCCAGCTCCCTCAGGCTCCGCACCCCCAGGCTCAGCACCTCCAGGCGTAGCACCCCCAGGCTCACCACCCCCAGGCTCAGCACCCCCAGGCTCAGCACCCCCAGTAGTAGCACCCCCAGGCTCAGCACCCCCAGGCTCAGCACCCCCAGTAGTAGCACCCTCAGGCTCAGCACCCGCAGGCATAGCACCCATACGCTCAGCACCCCCAGAGTCAGCACCCCCAGGCTCAGCACCCTCAGCAGCACCAGAGTCACCAGTAACCTCGACAGGCTCGACTGCGTCTACCTGGGACACACCTGAAGGGGCAGGACCCTGAGGGGGGGAGGGGTCTACCGGGGGGGGACCTGGCACAAGGAAGAGCGGTGGCGGGGGGAGGGACGGAGTGCGGTAGGGGAAGAGGCGGTAGTAGGGGACCGACTCGTCAAACGTGACGTCCTGGGAGGACAGAACACGGCGAGAGGTGGGGTGGTAGAACTGCCACCCTGGCGCGTCAGGGGGGAAGCCAAGGAAGACGCAAGGAGCAGCACGAGGGGACAGCTTGTCCGCAGACAAGTCGCGGACAAACGCCCGAGATCCCCAGACACGGAACGCAGACGCATCGCCAACCTTCCCCGTCCACAGCAAAGCTGGGGAGGTCTCCGGCATGGAGACCCTGGGGTGAAGGTTGATCGGATGCGCCGCGTACCGAACCGCAAACGGCCACAGAAAATGGGGGGCAGCCGCATGCATCATGGACGTACGGGCGACGTCCATGACCATGCCAATGCGGCGCTCAGCAATCCCATTTTGCTGTGGAGAGTCCGGAAGCGTGAAGGTCTGGCGGATGCCTCGTGCACGACAGTAGGCTCGCAGAAGGCCAGAGGAGAACTCTCCACCTCTGTCAGAGTGCAGACGCAGAACAGGAAAGTCCGAGCCGAAGCTCTGCCTGAGCTGGAGACGAGCTGCGCGGATCCAGTCGATCAACACCTCAGTGACATCACCCTTGCTGCGCAAGGGGAAGACTGTGGTGTAACGCGAGTAGTCGTCAACCACCAGCAGAAAGTAGCGCTCGTGACCCTGTCCACGGACGCGGGCCGGGCCCCACACGTCCATGTGAAGCGTCTGCAGCGGGGCCTCTGTCGGAGGAAACTGGGAGGAGTGAGGGGCAGCCCGCTGCCGCCCCTCGACACAGGGGACGCAGGTAGGGCCAGGCCCCGGAGGAAGGGGAGGGAGGGACCGGGGAAGACCAGAGACAAGGACACGGGAGGCCATGCCTCGGAGACGAAGCAGGGAGGGGTGACCAAGGCGGCGGTGCCAGAGGAGAGTCTCGTGAGACAGGAGGCGACACGAACAGGGGGCAGACTCATGACCA